TACTTTGCTTCTGCTTTTCTTTGTACTACGTTACTTTGCTTCTCTTTTGCTTTGGCCTACGTTACTTAGCTTCGGCTTTGCTTTGGGCTACGTTACTTTGCTTCAGCTTTGCTTTGGGCTACGTTACTTTGCTTCTGCTTTGCTTTAGGCTACGTTACTTTGCTTCTGCTTTACTTAGGGCAACGTTACTTTGCTTCAGCTTTACTTTACGCTAGGTTACTTTGCTTCTGCTTTGCTTTGGCCTGGGTTACTTTGCTTCGACTTTGCTTTGGGCTAGGTTACTTTGCTTCTGCTTTGCTTAGGGCTAGGTTACTTTGCTTCAGCTTTACTTTAGGCTAGGTTACTTTGCTTCAGCTTTACTTTAGGCTAAGTTACTTTGCTTCAGCTTTACTTTAGGCTAAGTTACTTTGCTTCTGCTGTGCTTTGGAGTAGGTAACTTTGCTTCTGCTTTGCTTTGGACTACGTTACTTTGCTTCTGCTTTGCTTTGGGCTACGTTACTTTGCTTCTGCTTTGCTTTGGGCTACGTTACTTTGCTTCTGCTTTGCTTTGGGCTACGTTACTTTGCTTCTGCTTTGCTTTGGGCTAGGTTACTTTGCTTCTGCTTTGCTTTGCGCTAGGTAACTTTGCTTCTACTTTGCTATGAGCTACGTTACTTTGCTTCTACTTTGCTTTGGGCTAGGTTACTTTGCTTCTGCTTTGCTTTGGGCTAGGTTACTTTGCTTCTCGTTTGCTTTGGGCTAGGTAACTTTACTTCTGCTTTGCTTTGGGTACGTTACTTTGCTTCTGCTTTGCTTTGGGCTAGCTTATTTAACTTCTCGTTTGCTTTGGGCTACGTTACTTTGCTTGTGCTTTGCTTTGTGCTACGTTACATTGCTTCTGCTTTGCTTTAGGCTATGTTACTTTGCTTCTGCTTTGCTTTGGGCTAGGTTACTTTTCTTCTGCTATGTTTTCGGCTAGGTTACTTTGCTTCTGCTTTGCTTTGGGCTACGTTACTTTGCTTCTCCTTTGCTTTTGGCTACGTTACTTTGCTTCTGCTTTGCTTTGGGCTACGTTACTTTACTTCTCTTTTTCTATGGACTAGATTACTTTGCATCTGCTTTGCTTTGGACTACGTAACTTTGCTTCTCCTTTGCTTTGGGCTACGTTACTTTGCTTCTGCTTTGCTTTGGGCTAAGTTACTTTGCTTCTGCTTTCCTTTGGACTACGTTACTTTACTTCTGCTTTGCTTTGGGCTACGTTACTTTGCTTTTGCTTTGCTTTGGACTAGATTACTTTGCTTCTGCTTTGCTTTGGGCTACGTTACTTTGCTTCTGCTTTGCTTTTGGCTAAGTTACTTTGCTTCTACTTTGCTTTGGGTTAGGTTTCTTTGCTTCTGCTTTGCTTTGGGCTAGGTTACTTTGCTTCTGCTTTGCTTTGGACTAGGTTACTTTGCTTCTGCTTTGCTTTGGACTAGATTACTTTGCTTTTGCTTTGCTTTGGCTACGTTATTTTGCTTCTGCTTTGCTTTAGGCTATGTTACTTTGCTTCTCCTTTGCTTTGGGCTAGGTTACTTTGCTTCTGCTTTGCTTTCGGCTAGGTTACTTTGCTTCTCCTTTGCTTTGGGCTACGTTACTTTGCTTCTGCTTTGCTTTGGGCTATGTTACTTTGCTTCTCTTTTGCTATGGGCTAGGTAACTTTCATCTGCTTTGCTTTGGGCTACGTAACTTTACTTCTCCTTTCCTTTGGGCTACGTTACTTTGCTTCTGCTTTGCTTTGGGCTACGTTACTTTGCTTTTGCTTTGCTTTGGGCTCTGTTACTTTGCTTCTGCTTTGCTTTGGGCTACGTTACTTTGGTTTTGCTTTGCTTTGGGCTACGTTACTTTGCTTCTGCTTTGCTTTGTGTTTTGGCTGGGCTGGGCTGGGCCATGGGCGATGACGGTGAATACGCTGCGAGCGTAGCGCAGCCACAAAGATGCATGGCGCGCGCGGGCTTCCATCCCGGAGCCACCCGGGTGCCACGTTGGCCCTTGCCCAGTCTCATTCGCATCGTAAACATCATAGGTTAGAATTACAAATTAGTCGTCGTCGTCGTCGTCATTATTATTGTTATTATTATGTTATAAAGTGGTTTTAATTTTTTAATAAATAAATAAATAAAACATATTTAGAGAGCTATATACACATAGCTCCTTTGAAGCTATTTTTCTCATTTTCTATTTTTCTTGAAGTGGAGGTTCAAAGAATGTAAAATTTACGCCCTTTTTGTACGTTTTGATCTCTACTTTTTTTTCTTTATTCTTTTGTTGAGTAGAGTATTTTTATTTTATTTGTATGTAATGTTTTGAAAAAAGAAAAAGAATGTTAATTGGAGTTTATGTGGAGCCCATGATTGGAGCATTTATTGGAACTTAATTGCAAAGTAAATTTTGGATTTGGAATTTGGAAATTGTTGATTTGAAAAATATGAACATGTGAAGATTGCATACTCATAATTACAACCTGTGATGGTTTTTGAAAAACATGAATTTTGCAAAATTATTTATTTTTACTTGCATCTCTCTTTTCATTCTTTTTGTTTTGTTTATTTTTTTTAGAATACTCTTTTTAATATGGAAGTTATTTAAAAATAGCAGACATGTGTAAAAACTCAAACCTTACATGTTTTGTACATAAACGATTTTATTTTGAACTTGGAAATCCAGACAACATTTATGCAATTTTTAACTTCTATGTAACAAGTGTAACAAGTTTAACTTTGAGAAAAAATAATATCTAATGAAATACTTGTATTAATTAGTATAAATATAAGATAAAAAAAAAATAAAAGTAGTTTGCCAAAATGATATACATATAAAAATCTTTAACAAACTAGTTTATAAAATATAATAATAAAAATAAATACTAGTTTCTTATCATATTAAAAATTAAAAGCATGTATATATTTAAAATGTTTTAATACTTGTATTGGAAAAAGAAAATTTTTAGATAGGCACCCCTCTTTTATAGCATGGACACCTCCATGCCACACACTTTTGCAAAAAATAAATTTTATATTAATATTTTTTTTTCCAAAATTATATAAGAATTAAATTAAGTTTTGATTAAAAAAAAATTGAAACATTAATGAGAAAAAAAAATTACTAGATTTCTTAGTAATAAAAATACTTTTTTTTCATAAATAGTGCTAAAAGTATAAATATGAATATAAATAAATTAGTAAATAATTGTACTATTTTACTTAGCATTAATAAAGAGAATAGGTGGCATGTGGTGGATGGCAAGCTGTGGTAGCAATGTTTCTATTACAAATAAATATATATATATATATATATATATATATATATAAAATAAAATAATCAATATAATCTTTTTTTAATTATGTAGAAAGTAAATTTAATTTTTTTATAAAATGATGAAGTAAATAAGAATAAGTATTATTTTATTAATTTTTTTAGTAAAAATATTTTTATTTCTATTTTAAATGATTAAATTTAAATGTTGAATTTAATTTTTTATTTTGCATTGACAATAGATGTGGATAGAATATAACAGATAGCAAGTTGTAGTGACAGTAACAAAATTTGTACTGACATGTGGTAGATGGCAAATTATGGTGGTAGTAGCAAAAATAACAATGACATTAGAAATATTGTAAAAATAAGTTTTAAAACTCTACTAAAATTTTATTTTTATTAAGAATTATATTTTGAACTCCTAAATATAATTTATTTTTTATTCTAAAATCATGAATAAAATTTTGAATTAGTATGTATGTATAATTTTTAAATCTATATTTATATAATTATACAGATATAAGTTTTTATTTATAAATATATATGTGTATAATTTACATATAATTTTTAATGTCAAAAATATCAAAAACATATATGAGTTTAAATATGTTATTACTATTTTATTTTTAAATCTTATTTGTTTTATATATTTGTATATAATGAAAGTATTTTTTACTTAAATTTGGGCAATACTCTCAAATCAATATTTTCTTGTCAATCGTATGCATTAAAAATTTCAAAACTAAATATTTTAACATTAATTTTGGACCTCGCCATAAGTTGTACCAAATAACAATTGAGAAACCACCATGAAATTACTATTGATTAATGTGAATATATTTTTGTTATTTCTTATAATATTTGGACTACAAAGCAAGTCTTTATCTTCTAGAAGGACGTTACAATTAGAAACTATATGTCTAAATTTAATATAATAATAATTATTATTATTATTATTATTATTATATTCACTTAATATATTATTTGTAAAACAATTCCGAAAGTGATATCTTACTTGAGTTTTGTTTAGTTATATACTTGCATATTTTATCAACCCAGAATCACGTTGGAATCATATTTTTACTCTGGTATTTCTTGAATTTAAAAAAATCACAAAAAAATCTAAAAGAAAAAACTAAATTAAAAAACTTTGTGGTATATCAAATCTAATTTTCTAAAATATCTCAGGAAGCAAAAGGGTTTTTACCATGAGTAAATTCCCACATAAATTTTGGCAATGATGTGAAAAACTTGGAAGTTCTTGCATGGTTTACCAATGATTGGAAATAAACACTTTGTAGAGACCCATAAGATCAGAATCCATTGATTTTGACAATAATCCAAGCTTTTATCTTCAAATTCCACTTTGGGACACACATGTGTGTTTGGCATGATGTACCAGGACATGAAATGACAGGTGATTGCCACACCTCATTCTGTGGTCAAAATAGGGTTCATAAAAATACAGTACCATTGAATCAATTTTTGGGTTAATGGAAAATCTCACCTTTTTGATGAGATCTTTGCTAATGAAATCCTTACGAGTTCACAAGAGCATAACTAATTGACTCACATAGGAAGAGCCACATAGAATGTGATTGGAAGTAAAATAATAAAAATAATTAATTAATTGCCTTCATTTAAATAACCATGAATTCAACATCATTTCTCAATTGTAAGAATGACAAAATTTAACACCAAAGATTAAGTGTAAATAAGCTATGGCAGTCATTTGATCTCTTGTTGTATTTATCATTAATTCCAAAAATAGATTAATCTTAAGACATCAAATCGTCATCAATATACCATTATTTCATGTTAAACTTGCACTAGTATATCACACACTATCATTCGAACTACCCCTTGTGACCCACTTCATTTTATTTTAATTTATTCTAATCTTAGTCAAGTGTGGACAGGTCAGTTCTCAGAACAGGTTCCAAAAAGAACTCATTCACACCCTCCAAATGAATCTACTCATGCTGAATACTCCATCTAGAATTCAAGTGCATGCAAAAGAGTAACGCCATGTACTGCACAATATCCAAAGGAGTACAAAAAGGAGCTGATTCAGCTGTTGATGGAGTTTCAAAACAGAAGTAAAAAACTGATCATTTAATTACGAAGTTTGATACCGGTAATGATAATCAATATGTTCAAAGGTTGGTGGAGGATTAAGGCAATAACAATCTCCACACAAACTAGAAGAAGCTGGGTTGGCCAACAAACGCTTTTGGCTCTACTAATACTGGCAAGTCTTCCAGGAAAATTAATTGATTTAAGCTCACTCACTCGGTGTCTTAAATTCGCAAAGAACGTGATGTCATCTCGGCAAGTTCTGGAGTGTTAGTTTTGGCAAGGTTGGTACACAACTGTGTGGTGATAATGGACTGCTACAACTGAAGATGGGGACTAGAGGGTCATCATCGTTAGTTAGAAGGGAGATAATGAAGATAATTAAAGACGGTTTTGGTTGACTGAATAAACTAACCCCGACAGGCACTTATAAAACCACGGAGAAATTTGGACTAGATGATGATTATGTTGGACTGAAGGGAGGCTCTTACAGGTAGGACTACGCATTCAACACAAGGAGAGACGATTAGACCACACGGCTGGACTCTGGAGTGTGGGTATGTCTCACCGAAGTGCACAGAGTGAGCGTGAGGTCATCAGCGATGTCCTTAACAATATCCTCGTCTGCGTCGACCTTTTTGTGTTGAAGAGAGATGATTGAAGCTCCACCGCGGTTACTCGCTGTAGTAGATGCTGCTGCTGCTGCTGGGTGCAAGCTCAAACGAGTTGAACCTGTGCTGACGGAAGCTCCATCTCTTCCGGACCACAAGCAGAGACCATCCTTGAGGGACTTGTATGCTTGACCAGTGACATCCACCATTTCGTGAGTGATGCATGAGTATTGATCCCCTTGTTCTCGTTGCGATTGGTTGAGCAAGTCGGCCGCTTCGGGGAATAACGTGTAGTGCTTCCCCGGATCTGGGTCTTGGGTTTGCCTTTGAACTTGGGATACCACAGACGAGTCTCCGTTCATATGCACGTTGAGGTAGGGATTGAGCTGGTCGTATTCCAGCTGCTTGGACTGGTGTTCAAGGAACCTTTTTCGTCTACCACATTCGAGTTGTTGACCAAGGTCCACACAATCCATCATGTCCGCAACAAGGGGGTCATGGGAAAACCTGTCGTGTCCTGCCGTCACAGATACACGCTCAAAGCAATCTGATTAACATTCACGAAGTACTTGTAGAGTTGAAACCAATTAGATCTAGACAGTATAAGTAGCGGGAGTGATACTGTAGTGGTTATGGGAGCAAGACCATGTCGGATCCAATCTGCACAGTTCTCTATTTCCGCACAACGCATATCCGTAGCGTCAACATACACACATGAATGAAGACAAAACGGGAGATCGTGGTGAATAGGTCATCTAAGCATTCTGCGTGGCACTGCAAATAGTTCCTGTGCAGTCATGAAAGGATGTGTAGAAAATCAAATCAGACGTCTTAGCAAACTGTCTGACAACCTGATCATATATGTTACAGTCTCGGAGAAGATCAAAGATCAGTAGTGCAAGCAAAATATTATTTAGAAAAATACAGACTGGTTGATTCGTCAACAGAAGAAGATGAAGCTCTTACCAGAGGTGTCCTTTTCCGATGCACACGACACAATATAGGTCTGTCCAACAGTTTGTCCTCCTGAATACAGCACACCTGCAGTACCCTGCGTGGTTTCCCATTCGTTCTTCACCGCCAGTGCAGTGCAGACTTCGGCAATATCCTCTGCGCCAGGTACTGGCGGATCGTTCAAGTTGCCAACATGGTGCAACCTCACCGTTTGCTCTGGAAGCAGAAACCCTGCCACAGATTTAGGTCCTGCCCTATTCTTCGGATCTCTGGAATTAGGATTCGGGTTCCTTGCTTGCACAGCGGAAGGAAATGCTACCACTGTTTTGAAGTTGGAGAGCGGGTCACAGCGCTGTCTTTTATCTTCAAACTGAGAATCAACACTTATTCTGCCAAGGTGCCTGACTTCGGCGCCGCCGCTCCTAGCAGTGCACGTGGGTTCATCACTGGTTTGCCCAGCTTGGCTGCAGGAGGTTGAGGGACTGGTATCTGACTTGAAGGATCTCTCGTATGATGGCGTGCCTTCAGGAGTATTGTGCGCTGTAGTTACTTCCCTTGAAGGTGGCTGCGATCCCTGCAGTGGAGAGAGAAAAAATTGTGCTGTAAGTAAAGTGAACGAAGACAAAAGTTATTCCAGAGACTAAATAGTGCTATTTAATTTGCATTATCTGCAGACACTATTACAAGTACAGGCTATACATATGATCCCACACTTCCTGCACGATCCTGTCAGGAATTTTTTCTGTAACAATAATTAATCCTTGGCTAGCTTTCGAACACTGCGTGTCATTACATTGAGCCAGGGGTTCTCGTTAGTGCTATTTCTAGATTTGATTCCTCTGTGGCATGTCAGCCGAACTGAGATCGACCAGTCTGACGTAAATCAAACGAATCAACTTGACACTACAGAAAAAGTTGCCGCGTCTGTAGAATAGACTCAGCACAGCGTGGTCCAACATGAGAAAAGCACTTGCTGTTGATTCCTAATGAATTGGCGAACTATGCTATGCTGCATTTGTAGGCTGATCAACTGAACGGTACGGATCGGTTTAGCTTCTACAATTCTTTGAATAACAGGATGTACTGCTCGAAAACTGTTCTGCAAAAATCAAAACCCTCGGTTTCCTCACTTCAAAGATTAGCGGAGAAGACATAACATGCCACCGATCATGATTCGGGTGTTGGTACAGGAACCAAGGGCAATAAATTCTACTGAAGAAATACTCGAGGGCAAGCGGTGTGTATGCACTGGAAGTATCTTTAAGTACAACGGCCGGCTGATTCTCGCGATTGTGACATGGTCTGTGTCACGTACAGCCACCATCTCTAACACCGTGTCCATTTAATTGGCGAGCGTTGCGATGTTTGTGCAAGATTATGCTTGTTTTCAAAAAGTCCATGGATTTAACAACCATACAGGGACATTATTGTTCTGGTGCCAAAGCCCAGATTGTCCGCTAGTTCGCTTTGATCAAGGCTGAGGCAGGGTCTTAACATGATCGCAAACTACGGAGAGGCGTAAATTAATAGAATTCTACGCTACAACGATGAGTCTGCTGCATAAAAACTTGGCTATGCAAGAGTTCGGCATCTGAATCTCACAATGGATTGGGTGGAGTAAATTTGGGAGGTTACCCACCTTTCTGAAGATGGTGCCATCCTCCTCCACTTGCCAGCCGGCCTCCTGACACAAGGCTTTGAGTACCTCATTATGATCGGCGTGTTTGGGAAGACAATAGTTCCCATGGGCGCGCAACCCAGCAAATATTTTAGCAGCTATAGCTCGTCGCCGCCTCTCCCTCCTCTTATTGTTCTCGCGCTCTCGTGCCGAGGGCATCCTAAGTACAGCTGGGGCAGTTGATTGACCTTTGCCTGGAGGACGGCGTACTATCCACGGTCCGGAGGTTGACTTTATGCAGCCTCGGACGGTGCATTTGCGAACCTCACTGCTTTCACCTTGTTCAAAACTCCGATCGCCGACCTGCATCTTTAAAAATCTGCAGTCTCAACAATGTATCTTGTTCCTCGTCCAGCAGCGCCTTCCCGTTATTTCTCCTCCGCTGGTTCAAATTTTCTCTTGGATTACCACTTACGTTCCACTTTTGGTGTTCCTAATATTGCTTAGAAAGGAGCGTGCACCCTAGATCACAACAACGAAACCAAGGTTCCGCGCTCATGAGACTTACGCAAGAAGCTTTCACTGGGAGTGTGTCAGACTAAATTGAGAAAGTAATAATCCTTGCGCTATCAAAGCTTCAATAAGTCCCGCTTCATCAAGCTATTCGGCGCACAAGAAATGCTCGAGTTGTTTGTAAATTTGGCTATATCGATGCTTCGGACGCAGACAGCTGCGGGTACTCCCACAATATCCGAAGAAGCACGCGTTCACCTTTTCCCTCCAGAAATTTGATTTGACTCGAGCGATTGTCATGTATAGAGACTCACTGCCGACATGGTGGTAAACTGGAGTTAAATGCTGGCGTCGCAACAGAAATTTAGTATCAAATGGACATGACTTGGCAACATCTCATTCCCAGTTGCTTTTCTGTGTCATTGAATCGGAATGCGCCTCTGCACCACCTTGACGGCATCTCGATTCAGGTTGAAAAACGTTGACGTCCTTCACATAGCATTATTCAAAGCTGTGACAGAACTCAATCCCCGTAGAGCTGATCAGTATGTAGCTTCCCTTGCTGTTCGGCTTTCTTGTAACCAGGTAGTTTCCAGGTAGGTTCCGATCTCACTATTCTGATCCTAGACTTCAGGATTTTGCATTGAGCGCTGTAAATGGCGCAGAATGTAGTTCACATCAGAACGCGGTACTGCGTAACTGGCACAGCGAAGCTGTTGAAGCTACTGAAGTGACAGCTTGAGCAGAAGAGGCCGTATAATTACCGATGCAACGGAGATATACATCCACAGGGCTCGCGTCATGCATCAAACGTCTGCAGCGACCAGAAATGCTGCAAACCTCAAACAAGTGATTACTCGACAAGCTTACGTCAACTACCTCTCAAAAGAGGAACATATTTCCCCTAAAATTTTCTCACAACGTCATGCACCTGAGATCTTCAAGGCAATAGCTGAACTGCAACCCCATCAACATCAAGACCACAAATCAGTGTTGGTTCTTCGAGCAAAAAGTATCATTGCTTTCAACTTTATGGAACATACGAGTTTCGACCTCCAGTCTCAAACGAAACCCCCACGAGGGCGAACCCCAAGGCAGATAGCGACACTAACTACAGTGTCTAAGACCGACCACAGTCAAGGCCGAAACCACTTAACCAAGTCGCCAGATTGGCAAACTTGGGCCAAAACAAGAACCTGACCCTTGCGGGACAAGGAAACCCGAGCTTGACACCCGCCAGAGAACGTGAACGCTGCACGCGGCGACTGGCTCACAGCAGCCTCACACTTCCCAGGATCGCAAACCAAAACAAGGCCTTTTTTCCGGAGGCAGAATCACCCGCAAACGATTACCAAGGAAATCCACATCGCGTCTCGCTAAAGCTACAGCTCCGACGAAACAAAATTAAGCGTCACAAGCGGAGGGCAACCACGACTAGACTTTTCCTCATTTCCTACAGCATTCCTGAACCATTTTTTTTATTGCAACGGTGTCTCCATGTCCCTTCACGCGTCGCCAAATACAATCTCCACTGTTTGCGGTGAAGTAAATGATGGGTCGGCGACGTTAGGAGATGCACGGAGGGGATGGGGTGGATAGAGACACGACACGGCACGGAGCGTGTGCTTGTAAGAAAGAGAAAGGGCGAAAACTGGGAAAAGAAGGAACGAGAAAGGAGCGAGCGAGGGAAATGAGAGAGACGGGGGAGCATGACATCTCTCTCTCGCTCTCTCACTCACTCACTCAGGTGGATGTCGTGCATGAACTCTACTGTCCTTTCTTCCACGCCTCGCCCCCGCACCTCGCCCCTCCCTCAGCAGCATCAGCGGCAGCGCCGCTCGCTCCGGTTTTGGATCCGGTCCCGGTGCCGCGACCGCCCGAGCCCCAGTGGGAGAGGGTGAAGGATGGATGGCTAGCAAGCTTGCAATTCACTCCTGCCATCGGTCCCTCATTTGTTTGTTTACTCACTCACTCACTCACTCTCGGTAACTGCAGCTCAGGTTTCTTACTCGTGAATTTGGCTGCACGGCCACGGCCCGACACACCCCGCGCGCGGGCTCGCCGCTCGAGGCCCGACACCCGCGTCGTCGTCGTCGTCGTTACGTCCCGGCGTGGGCAACAGCAGCAGGTGCTCGACCGTTCCGGGGCGGAACACGCCCTCCTCCCCCCCCCCCCCCCCCGCAGCCCGCGCTCTGTGCTTTTAATGATTCTACCCATTCGACTGTGCTGTTTCACATGGAACCAGTCTTCTGGATTTGTTGATGTGGTCTTCATTCATCTGTTTTGCATTGTGGAAATGCAAATCCGATGAAATTAGATCCATGTTCTATGTTCTCTGCATGGATATTTTTTATTTTTTAAAAACAATTTCCCATGAACGTCTTTTTTAAAGTCTGTAGAGACAATCCATCTCCATGTATGAATTGCATTAGGGTGTTGCAATGCCACCACAGCTTTTGTTACTAAACAACCCACCACTCATTTGATGTATATTTTTCAGTTTTTTTATTATAATAAATAAAATAAAATTATATTCAACTTTAATATAAAAATTTAATAACTTAATAAGAATAAGGTTGTGGTGGCATTAGCAATCCCTTGCTTTAAGTACTTAAATTTTATCAGAGAGACTAAACTAGAGAATCAATTATTTGGGTATACATAACAAGTAAATTGTTGAATGTATCAAGATCTTTTTTTTGAAAATGCTTTTAAAAAAATTAAAATTGTGATGTGTTCTAGGTATAAAGTTTGATGGGTTGCAAATGAAATAATGTAATCTCAATGGTTTCAAAAAAAAAAATAGATAACATATGTTTTATGTGCAACTTTTACACAATCATTTTGAATTATAAAATTACATCGAATTTTTAAACTAATATAAAACTATCTAATCTTTTGGTATAGAATTCATAAATAAATAAATATATATATATATATATATTATTCCAAAATATCATATATAATTAAAAGAAAAAGACAGAATAGACAATCTATCTAAAATTATGTGAAATATAGATGTCATGTTTAAAGATTTATTTACAAACAAAACACTCAAACAATATAGATTATTTTAACTGAATGTCACATGTACTATTTCATAAAATATTTTAAAATTGTCCTCTCATCAATTCAATTCAAATGTGTGCATATTCAAGATCGGAATACATTTTGATATGACCCTTTTGGAGCATAGATACTAGGCAAACTATGAAATGCGGGATTAAATGAAGTTGCTTACAACTATATATCAGCCTACACACATACAGATTGAATGCTGATTAAAATAATCAAAATGCCGACATCTCATCAAGTAGCTGTATAATCAGCTTAGTACCGTTATGTACTTATACCAAAATATTATATATATATATATATATATATATATAACAAAATATGTTTTATTTTTATTTTTTATGATTACTGGATCTTTGATGTCACATGATTTAAAATTGAATCACACTTTACACAAATACAAAAATTAAAAGCTAGACTATGACAGACTGAAATACAATGAATGATTAATTTTTCAAATAGCTTGTGGTATTCTAATTAAGTCTAATGGCTTTATCAGCTGAATAATATACACTTATTATCAAATTAGTTAGCATCATTTCATGACGTCACAAACAAGATAAAGGAGTTGCCTTTCAATAAGTTAGTAATTTTGTGTGATTGAATCATTATTACCATCATTGTGTACTGTTAGCATAAAATAGGGAAAATTATTTTTAAGATAAAAAATTAGACCCAATTATATTCAATATTTTTTTTAAGTTTTAACATATTCTCTCTATTTCTCTCTCTAGATAGAAATATATATATATATATATATATATATATAAACACACACATGTATAACTTTAAGTAAATTTATGTATTTACATTAGTCTTGATATGGCGGCTCACAATTCATTATGCTGGTTCAAATACCATTATAATGTATTCTTCCTTATATGTGGCTCACAATGTGAAGAAGCTCCAGTTTGGGGGGATGAAGCTTCCAGAAGCATTGTCTGGGAAAAGCAATTCCAATAGGATTTTCTGCAGTTAACATCTGGGAAAGGGTCTAAAACAAATAACCCTTGCAAAACTATTAATATATTTATTGCAACAAACTCAATGGGAATGTATTGGATGTCACCTCCAAATGGGCTTCCACTGATACCTCAAAAAGTTTACCCTATCAAATCTTTAACCATAATCCAATCCTATGATCAAATCCTAACCAAGTTTCCCAAGACTTCTATGAACTGGGCCACAACAAATTCCATTTTCCCTATTGTTAATAAGTCGTCTATTCCTGCACATGTACACTGATTTGTGTTTAAAAGGTTAAAATTATCACCAAACCTTAAAAATTTCTGGAAAAGATAATGACCGTTCATTAAGAATAATGAATTTTGTATAAGTTCGAAACTTACAAAACAAATAAATAACAGAAGATAAGTTTACCAATACATCATTTGCATTCACAGGAAATATTTGGCATAAAAAAATTATTATTATTATTTTTGCAGCTGTCATGAACTTGCAAGATGGAACATTTGCACACAACCTTGCATAGGATTGTGGATTAACTTTGTTATGATATTTATTGACAACACTGTACTAAGATGAAATTTAAGGCATAATTCAATACCAACCATTTCTAAAAGATTTTTTCAACATACATACATACATACATACATGTTTTAATTTTGAAATTTATTCGAAAAAATCTTTCTGCTTGCCAACTTGTATTCTGCAAACCACCAATTTTAATGGACATATTACAAACAAAGAGAAAAACCGAGCTATCAACTGCTACTTCATGTAGGTTCAACAATTAGCCTTAGTTCACAAGGAAGCACTTAAACCAATTATTTAATTATTTAATTAATGTTATATATAATGTAAGAATAATATATATATATATATATGGAAACAAAACAGTGGGGAATGAATGGCATCTTCTTCATAACACACAGCTTCCAAGCCAATCTCTTTAGGCCATCCATGATTGGGTGCTGACGTGTATGCCTCGTCACCAATCCCTAGTCCAATCCTCAGCCAATAAAATCCGACCCCTCTTCTGGACACTCCTTGGCCAGGCACTTTCACACACACACACACAAACACACTCTCTCACTCTCACTCTCACTCTCTCACACAATCTTCTTCTTCTTGTCTTCGGGGAGAATCCAAACACCAGGCCAAGGGATGAATGAAAAGGTGCTTCCACGGGGTTGGCAGATGGACGGATGAATGTATGGGTCCATGGATGGATGGATATGAGAGGCCCATTTTTCATGCATAATATGGGGGGGAGTGGAGCACCTCTTTTACAAAATCAAGACAAACTGTAATCAAGGTCAGAGTCATAATCTCAATCAACTGTTCCCCCAGAGTCTCTCTCGTCCCTTCTGGGAGATCCTCCTCCTCGCCCGAATAACATATGAATGAATGAATATCTTTTATCCACCTCACGTGGGCCTTATTTCATCCATCCACTTTGCTAAGGGTTGGGCGAGAACTCCCTTATTTACTCGGAACTTGCGTTACTGGTGACAATAATAAGACAATTAATAATAAATAATAATGATAATAAGACTACCTTAATACATTTTTCATGCACCTGGCAAATTCTATTTGGAAAAACTTACATGCAATGTAAACAGGTGACGTGGTATTTGATATGAATTTGTGTATATTTTATGGCATGAAATGTTGGAGGTTACAAAAGTAGAAGAAAATAGAAGAAAAAACATTGTAAACTACATATGAATGCATGAAATGGATTTTATCGTGCTGTTGTTTTTTGTTTTTTGTTTTTTGTTTTTTTTTTGTATGTTTTTGGGTTATGTAGATTGCTAAGGGTTGAATCTATTTTGAATTAATTACTAATCAGACACTAATAGAATGTAGATGTTCATGTATATTGGACAGACCAAGACCCACAACTTTGTTTTTATTTCTTTTTTGAAATATAAAGTGGTTGAATAAGGAAGAAAGAAAATGAAACCGTAGTTATAATATGTGTTCATCTGTGTTCAAAATCCACTCATTGTTAACACATTTTCCAGGTCTAAATATAGACCAATGAATGTATTTTCTGAACGAATTTTGTATGATTTTCAAAGTTTTCATCACTTACAACAGTAACCTGCCGTTTCCAACCTTTTAAACTTTAAACTTGACTACACCTTTCTTATAAAAAAAAAACATATTCACTCATTACTAGTCATAAAAAAAGTTTCAAATCTTGAATTTTAAACATATTTCAATTAGGTTAATGTTATTATTATTTTGAATCCCATTACCCGATTGTGAAGATTTCTTATTGTGTTTAATATTGATATGTCCACTTTAGCAAAATTGTTTGTTAATTCACTTTTCACTTCTTTTTCTTTTTCTTTTTGTTTTAAATTTCTGGTATGCTGATCAAAAATGATTGAAACTAATTAAGACACGATTATTGAAGGTCAGTAGGATGTAAGCACCAGATCTAGTAGGAAAAAAAATTCCTCTCTCCAAAAAACTTTATAAGCTAATCATGCTTAATTTAGATTGACGGCTGGCGGTTATGATTTGTGAGAATCATAATAATAAATCAGCAAGAATGGCCTGTACAGCAAAATCTCCCACCACGTAGAGTGAATTTCATATTTTACTTCGAGAAAAAAGAAAAAAGAAAAAAACAATGATCCATGGAGAAAAACAATGAGACTATCATGTCCCATACAACAACTAAGATTCATCCAACTTCAAGTTAAACTTAATTAAGTAGTTTAATCATAGTATTTACAGTAGAGGTTAGGTTTGATTTTGAGAGTTGCAAATATACTTGGTCTTGATACAGAACAGAGTGAA